TGTCTCAGCTTCTCAACCTTATATCTGTTATTAATAATAATGGCTCCAATCCTTCAATGGAATTGTCGCAGTAGCAGAAATAAAGAAAATGAAATTCTCCACCTTCTAAACAAATATTCTCCTGTCGTTTTTGCCATTCAGGAAATGCGACGCAAGCCGGGCGAGCGGGTTCGGTTCCCTGGCTTTGTGTGTTTCCGGGATGATAGAAGCGACGGACAGGGCGGTTCAGCCCTTCTCGTTTCAAATTCTGTTCCATTTTCCCATAAACCTCTTCCACCCCACAGTGAACATGTGAACGCAGTAGCGGTAGTAGTACAAAATATTACCTATATGTCAGTTTATATTCCACACCCCAACAATACAAATTTGGCAGAATTGAATGAGCTCATTCTGTCCCTTTCTCACCCAATGGTGATTTTGGGTGATTTTAACATTCATCACACTTCTTGGGGTTCTTACCATTGCGATCACTTATCCTCATCCTTTTTAGATATCTGTGACACATACTCCCTTTGTATTTTAAATGACGGTTCCCCTACCCGCAGAGTATACCCATCTCAAAATGTTAGAAGTGCAGTAGATCTGACTCTGTGCTCACCATCCTTGGCATCACTTATGATATGGACAATCCTTCCTATTACCCATGGAAGTGATCATTTCCCAATTGTCGTTTTTGGGGCAAATGACACAACACAATATTCATCCTTAGGTAACCGTCCCCGACCTCGAATAAAATATAATCTGTCCAAAGCTGATTGGTCCTTGTTCAAACATAATTTGGACCAGGAGCATCAACATTTTCCTGCAGTCAACGCAGACAATTATCTCTCTCTATATACAAAGTTTAGGGACTGTCTGCTATCAGCAGCAGAAAAATCATTTCCATATAAAAATTATTTTAAAGGTAAATCATCTTCCCCACCTTGGTGGGATTCCGAATGCACATTAGTATGTAAAGAGAGAAAGAGCGCTGAAAAGGACTATAACATCTGCTCGTCTAAATCTAATTACATTAAGTACCGTGCAGCTGCAGCAAAAGCTACCAAAACTCTTAAGGCCAAAAAAAGGCTTGGTTGGCATAGATTCTGCGAAGCCCTTTCTCCTAAATCTCCCCCCTCTATGGTCTGGAGGAATATTAGGAGATTTAGGTGTTCAATGTCCGACGTTTTTAACATCTCCTCTAATGATCCCTCAGAGTGGTTGGATTCATTCCAAAACAAATTAGCTCCACCGTCAGTCCCCACTAGTAGCGAGGCAATCATTTCTCTTATTCCTTTACCTCCGCACTTAACAGAATTTGATGCACCATTCTCTGTAGAGGAACTTTCTGCCGTACTGAACGGCCTGAGGGACTCCTCTCCAGGTGTTGATGGTATTCCATATTCCTTTATTATCAACAGTTCTTTAGCATCCAAGGACCTATTTTTGAATATCCTTAATTTCATTTTCCTCTCAGGGGTTCCCCCGGAAGAGTGGAAAACCCAAATCATCATTCCCATTCTAAAACCTGGAAAGCATAGCAATGATCCGAACGGATATAGGCCCATTGCTCTTTCTTGCACTATGTCCAAAATTTTAGAGCACTTAGTTAAAAACCGACTTGAATGGATTGTGGAAAGTAGAGGCCTTCTGGCTAAAAGCCAATTTGGTTTTAGAAAGGGTATGAGTACCATGGACAGCCTTAGCATTTTTCTATCTGATATCTGGATCGGCTTATCTAAAAACGAGAATGTAACAGGAGTGTTCTTAGATGTGTCATCTGCATATGACAATGTTCTGCTTCCGCTACTCAGGCAAAAACTGCTCAAGCTGAGTATCCCCGTGAGGCTTATAAACATAATATTCAGTCTCCTGTCTGCACGCTCAATACAAGTTTGCTTAAATAATTCTCTTCTTCCACCAAGATCAGTCTGGAAAGGTCTACCCCAGGGGTTTGTCCTAAGCCCTCTTCTTTATAATCTATATACATACGATCTAGAACTTTCTCTCAACTCATTCTGTAACGTCCTGCAATATGCAGATGACATATGTCTATATGTCTCAGATTCTAACCATGAAGCTTCCAAGTCCCGCCTCAATATGGCTTTGTCATATTTAGATAATTGGTTATCTGACCATGGCCTTTCACTTTCAGTTATGAAGAGTAATATTGTAATTTTTACTCGCTCCAGAAATACTCCCAATACCATTATCAAGTTTGAAGGTCAAACCATTCCAGTAAAAAACCAGGCCAAGTTCCTTGGAGTGGTCCTTGATTCAAAAATGACCGGATTTCATCACATCGCCCATGTAGTTAAAAAGTGCGAAAAAAATATAAATATTCTTCGATCTCTGTCTGGAACCTGGTGGGGAGCCCATCCCTTCTGTCAGAAGTTACTTTACAACGCCCTAGTTCGAAGCCACTTGGACTATGCATCTTTCTTACTGGAACCCTGCTTAAAATCTTCACTAAAATCCCTAGATAAGTTGCAGTCTAAGTGTCTTCGCATAATTCTGGGAGCTAAAAAGTCTTCAGCTATCAACGCCCTACAGGTGGAATGTACGGACCCTCCACTGTCTACCAGGAGACAATATTTAGCTGATAAATTCTTTTATAAAATTATCCAGAACAGAGATCACCCTTTAATAGGGAAACTCCATGAACTTTCCGAATTCATTTCGTCCAATAAATTCTGGAAACATAAATCCCCACCCTGTTTATTTAATAGCTTTCTCTCGTTCATCCGTCTTCCGTTCCCCATATACCAGTGTGTTTCAAATCCTCTCTTTGACAACTTGTTTCCATCTCTAATCTTTCAACCCGACATATCCTTAGACTTGGGCATCTCTAAGGACACTCCTAACGCAGACTTTGTTTTACAAGCTCTAATTAGAAAGAATTGGGTAGAGTGGCTGGAGGTATACACAGACGCCTCAAAACTTTCCGACAAAGATTCTGTAGGCTCAGCAGTTTGGATTCCCAAATTCAAAATTATTCTAAACTTTAAATGTCCTCCCCACACTTCAATCTTCACTGCAGAAGCAATAGCTATCCTCGAGGCAACAATGTATATTGAATCACATAAACTTGATAAAAGCATTATCTTTTCAGACTCTAAAAGTTGTCTTCAGGCAATTATGTCCAACCCTTTCCGGAACAAAACAAATTTCCCCTGTATTTTAAAAATTAGAAATGCTTTATATAGATGTCACAGACAAGGAATAAGAGTCGCATTAGCGTGGATCCCTGGCCATGCGGGTATAGATGGCAATGAGGTTGTAGACTTAATTGCAAAAGACGCTATAACTAGGGGAAGCCCCAGTTACAACCAGGTTTTCTCCCATGATTTGACCTCCCTAGCTAGTCTTCGGATGGGAACCACCTGGAGCTCCCAATGGAAACTATCCAGCAAGACGGTCGGAAAACATTATGCGGATATCCAAGATATCATCCCAAGTAAACCTTGGTTTTCCAAGTTTAAGAATGCCTCAAAGTCGTGTACTTCGACCATTTGCAGACTAAGAATAGGGCACGTAAACACCCCCGTCTTCCTTGCCAAAATTAAGGTTAAAGACAGCTCACTATGTGAATGCGGGTTGGATGAAGGAACAACCGAACATATTTTCTTTAGTTGCCCAAAATACCCGGTTTCACTCTATGACATCCTTCCACCATATATTCCCAAACCTATAAATTTTAAAACACTCCTAACCTATGTTAACTCTCCCTTTATTATCCTACTTTGTGAATATATATCCAAAAATAATATACGCTTGTAATTGTTTGTCTCTGGACTAACCAACTAACATTACTGACTTTTTTTTTGTGTTTGTCTCTACCTTTCAGATAAGACAACAGATATCCAATTACAAAAATTCAAGTACATTGTTTACTCCTTTCACATATTGTGCTTTCACAACATACTTAAAAAAAAAAAAAAAAAGCAAAGTCAATTTCTACTGAACAACCAAGCTGAATCACTCGAGTCTGGCGAAATCCACAAAAGTGCACCGCCATTTTCTAAAAAGAAGAAGAAGAAGAAGTATCTGAGAGTATGATTTATAATTGCTTTTGACGGACTACCTACGAAAGACTTTTAAAGTAAAAAAACACATTTCAAATCCATTAAAAAGTAGTTTTACGTATTACTAGATGTTTGTAACCAGTAGTATCGTTTGCTTGTTGGCTGCCCCGGCTTCCTACTAGTTACGCAACATAATGCTAGTAAGAGAACCGTCAAAGATGTTTTGGAGACTAAAATCTCCATAACTTCATTTTCAAGTATTTTCATTGGACGGCGGAAACACTACCGGTTGTAATGGTCTATAGCTACTTTGAGTATTATCTTGCGCCTCACCGAAATGACTGTAGGTAATTATTTATTAATATTTATTTGCTAGTTGGTGCCCGCGACTTCGTCCACAAGAAATTAGTGATTTGTGTAATTTATTTTTTATCCATTCTGCGTTTTCATCAATCATCAATCTAAAATGCCGTTATAATTTACAATTTATTTAATATATCGTACCAAGTTTTGGGCTGTGCTGTTGGCATTGTCAGTTAATCAGTCACACAGATTCTTATTTTATATACTTAGTTTGTCTCATTGTACAAAATTGTAAACAGTCGTAATTAATATGTATCTTTATACAATCGCACGGGTTTTTATACTAAAATCATCTACATTTTCATTTTACGTTGCATGTCGGTTTATAGATGAAGGAAGCTTGCCAAACGAGTTACAATCAAGATCAATCAAACCAAAGATTAAGAAAATGTGGATGTGAATACGTTTTTGTAGAAATGCTTTAAAATGAAAATAAAATATGTAAAAAACGTTTGTTTCTCTGAATTTGACGTCACAGGAAGATCACGTTTGATTTTATTTATAATATGTAATTTCCTTCTCATCGTACTGGAATAAGCCTAGTTGAGTAATAAAAACATCAGTGTTGTTTTTGATGCAGATTCTTTGGAGTATTACTTTGACAAAAGCAAATTCGGAAATCCAGTTCTAGTGATGGGTAGTCACAGGTACAAATTCATGAAGGCACGAGGCAAGATGAAGCGCTGGCTCTGCATCAAGACTAACTGCAAGTGCAGCGCCTTCGTAGTAACTGAAAACGACGATATCATTAGAATGAGCGCCTCTCATACTCATTAATTTTCTCATGAAAATGAGAGGCAAAGTTTCATACAGCGCGCGTGTTGAGTGATCGCCGCCAATAGAAACATTTCTGTGTACGCAGGGTTACTATTTAAAAAATTTAAAAGATAAAATTCCGGACAATATTGCGATAAAAGTCCGGACATTTTAGTCACAAAATGCGAACATCACCCACTTAGTTACAGTGATATTATACGCGTTGTAGCAGACGCTCGCATCGCGAGGGGGCTTCGCTGTTGATTTTTAAAGATAATTTATATTTTGTTTTAAATTAATGAGAACTTAATAAAGATTATTTAACTTATGTCATATAACTTAATAAGCAGTTTAACTCACATTCCATCTAATTAAAAAAATCCGGACAATGTCCGGACATAAGGCAAAAAGTCCGGATATGTCCGGACAAATCCGACCGGATGGTAACCCTATGTGTACGCGACAGGCGCCAGTGCTCACCCACCTACGAGAAATTGTATGAAGTTTTGTCTCTGTTCCTTCTTTACTCATGTGGTGAAACGGTACTCAGTTTTGTAAAAAAGTAATTCGCATACTTCTGTTTTGTTACTTCATGAAATGAATATTTCCATATTTGTACAGTAATATAAATAATATTTTATTCGATTTCTGCTTTTATTTGACCTACTTAAATTTAAATAAATTTTACAATAGGTCCTTTATTGATAGTCATTAAAAATTGGTCTAATAATGTTAAATAATATAATATTCTTTTTGATGAATCTAGGTTCCTTAATGATGAGTGGGCATTGTTCGCAGTAACTGCAACCAACAAGATACAGTTTGAGATGACGAGGTTCGGCAATCCCATTATAACATGGGGTAGTCACAGGTTTATCAAGAAGCTGTCGAGACGCGTGAAGACTTGGTGGGAGTGCACGGGCAGGAAGAGATACGGTTGTAGATGTGTCGTCGTTACCGTTAACGACAGACTTGTCAAAATGAATGGCTGGCACAATCATTAGGACCACTTATTTAATTTAGTGTCAGCAACAGATGAACTTATCCAAAATTGTACATTTTTTCAAATCTCCAAGCTTTATCAATCGATAAAATTTTACGCTGTCAACCTGGTTCATGGCCCACCGCAAGTTATGGTTTCTATATTTTTTTATATCATGTAGTATATTTTTTTATATAAACAAGATGATATACCTATTTAAAATATTTAATATAACTTTTATTTGAAAAATTTACGAGCGTTCAAAGTACAAGAGAGTAGCATACATAAAAAAATCCTAGTTATGTTTATTTAACCAAATTTAATTAAGGTAAGGTAAGGTTCATGTTGGTAATTGAAACTGGCAATATTTTGTAGATAAAGACGTATTAATTATGCATTTTTTTCTAAATAATGACAGATGGTGGATTTCCGACTTTTATCATTATTTTTAAATTCTCGTCAATTCTTGAAAAATATTATTACTTTATTTTATATTTAATGTAATATATTACTGTTAAAAAATATCTCTTTATATATACAATTTTGTAGTTTTAGAAATACATTTATTTGGGTATATTTAAGACTTCCTATATTATTATAATTATTGTGAATATTTTTCCGTAAAGTTTTAACAAAAGCTGATATAATAATTGTTTTTTTATGTCGATTGTACATACAAAAAGTCAATAGTCTGAGAAAATTAGAATCAAGAATATTATGTGTTAGATTTGTGATTAAAAATAAATATAACTATTGGAACTATAACTATATTTATGTAGCCTGTAAAATGTGATGTACAAAATGTGTGATAGGACAACGACGTTGTAGATACCAAAATTAACTTAATTCAAAAAAATATTAAAAATAAACTAATAAAGATCAAACACATTTCTTTATAAAATATACATTTCGGAATTGGAACTGGTAATTTTTGAGCCGATTAAATAATAAGCATTCGATTACGTTGAACTTAATGGCCCTGACTGGTTTTATAGGATTGTTTCATAAACTTCTGTTCACATTCATACTTCTCATACCATGAAAAAAATGTATATGGTAAATTGTTGTGTAAATCATGCGACGACTAAACCAGTTGGTATAATTGAAGATAAAGACAATGCTAAACCAAAATTAATATAAAAAAATAGATGATCATTTTAACTAAATCAATCTAGATACGTTTTAACTAATTAGTAACTGGTCGTTGTCCATTGCGGACTAAGGTAGTATACATATTAGAAAAGAAATATTTGAAATAAATATTGAAATTATCTTATTTTGCATTTTTACTTATTCGTAAATTTTATCTACTTATCTATTACCGTTCCTTCTTTCATTTGAGCAGAATTTGGAAAGAAAACACATGGCTTTAAGGGGGCGTATATCTTTTTTGGTAGATATGTTTATTACTAATCCCTAAGTAAGGTATAGTATGAAACATATCTAAAATCGATATTTTATTTGATTTTATCTGTACTGCTTGTATTGTTCACGACTTGTCGATGTCTCTTTATCAGAATCAATATTTAAATATTTGGAGCAGGAAGCTGACTAAGAATTTCTTTTCAGAACCGAAGTTTGAATTATCACAAAGAGGGAACTTGGTCGTGCAAATTGGCGAATGGCGGTTCAACAAGCACGCCTGCTGGGGGTCCAAGGTCCGATGGACTTGCATCAAGAAGAAGACGGGCTGTACCGCCGCCATCACCACTGTAGACAATGTCATTGTCAAAACCCTTGGAAAGCACAATCATTGATTAGTTTAGGCGAGTTCAAAAATTGGAATAAAAAATAATTTATAATATAAATTATATGTTAATTAATAGTTTAGATAACAGAACAAAAATATTTTGTTCGGTAATCTGAGGTTGATAGTTACTTAACTTTGTTCGTACATGTTAGCTGTTTTCACGTAAACTTTAGTACTAAGTTGACATAATTAGTACCTAATTAGTGAGGCTTAACTCTTTAATTGGAAGAATAAGAAGAAATTTTGAATGAAATGGATGGAGTTATATTATTCATGTTCATTCAAAAGTGAATCACTCATATAAATGATATATAATTGTATAAATTCAGTTTGACCATCGATAGTTTGATCTAATTCGAGTGTTGCTTGTGTTACGTAAATTTTTGTAATAAATGTTTTTTTCATTATTTAGAAAGTGTGTTTTACAGAAATCACTCATCGATAGGGAGAGATCACTTATTAAAATAATATAAACCTAAATGTAAATTCACTTGAATTTACTGTTAGTCTGAGGTAATAATAGTGTTGTTTGTGCTTAAATAAATAAATAATATTATATGAATTGGTACAAACTTTTGACCTTTTAGTACCTGCTACTCAACAGGTTTCTTGTCTACGGTCCATCCTGAAGAAGTCTGCCAGGATGTATAACAACTGACAATTGATATAGTTACGTAATAAATTATTTATAAGTACTTTTTTGATCTTTCGATTTGAAATGATTGATTTTCTTATTGTGCCTAATATAGTTATAATAAAGTTTTTTTTTAGGATAGATTCCTACTTTATAACGTTAAATAATGACTTTCAATTATAAAAAATGTGGTTATGATTTTAATTTTTTGAGCACGTAACTGCTTGATGTTTAAATGTAAAGAAAATATTATTAGAAAAAATCCAAATAATAACTAAGACCAAAATTAGTTGGTAAGTGCATTCGCCCGGATAGCGAAGGGTGCGGGATCGAGTCCCGTCTGCTGCCTGGTCCGCATGGATTCTTTTTAATAATATTTTCTATAAAAAATGTGTTTGTATAATTTGTGGACATATGGCTATTAATTAATATTTAGTTAAATGAAACAGTAGCCGTACTTGTGCGTCTTGCTTCGATTATTTAGTACTTAAAAATAAAACGAAATGATTATTATTACTGATACATTAGTATTTGGTAGTAAAACATACGTCATTTATAAACATTCTAACCGTTTTTACCAATTGAATTAGTTGTTTATAAATAATTGTCATTGAATTTGACGACCTTAGTGGACGAGCGGTTTGTACGCCGAGTTTCAGGGTGTCGCCTACTTGAGAGGGGGTTCGAATCCCGGTGGGTTCAGGAGTGATGAATACGAGCATTTGTACTCTAGTTATGGATATAATCATCTATTTCCAATCAGGTGTAAGTATTTCAAAACTCAATTGTTTATATACTTACATTATTTAAATAAATATTTCCAACACTCACACCAATTAGCCTAGCTCCAAAGTAAGCATTGTAGGCTTGTGTTGTGCGATACTAGGGTAATGGATGAAATACATATACCTACTGATATATATATATAAGAAATACATATTATACATCGTGGAGTACAAATGCTCGTGTTCATCACACTAACATCTGCCCCCATCGGGAATTCGAACCTGTAAAGTAGGTGACGACCGACCTTGAAACCCGGTGGCCGGATGTCGTCAAACAATAATGTGTATTTCTATTTAAATATACTTACATCTGTACATTATATGTATTCTATCCGTTACCATAGTATCCCATTACACAAGCCGTACAGTACTTACTTTGAGACTAGGATAATTGGTGTGAGTGTTTGACATATTTATTATATAATTATAATTCAGAAATGAATTCGTTTAGTTTTCAATATTTTTCAAAACAATATATACACTATTTATCGTCTCGTCTTCCTCTAAACATCGATACAGTGTTCCCAACTCTACGTCTTTTTACGTAGATCTACGTATTTTAGGCCTTTTCTGGAAACCTACTAACTTCAGTCCCAGAATCTACGTATTTTCTTATTTTTTTCAAATTTGTAAAATTACTTAATTCACTAGAATAAAGAAGAATATTTTCCGTTACTTTACTTAAAAACTATACAAATGTTTATTTCTTATAAAGATGTATCTAAACACTCTTGTATCTTGTAGAAAAGGTTCTCGTTATTGGTTTTGTTGACTAAATTAATGCTGGACGCAGGATTTGTGAAAGCAGAAACGACAAAACTCTTTGTAGGTGCATTCATAACCTTAAAAATTGTATTTTTAAACTTTTACTACTATCTATGAGTACCTACTCACATCGAATTGATCTTTGCAAAAAGAAAAGACTTTCAGTCGATAAAGTTACAGGATTTAGCAAGTTTTAAGCATATGTACATGTGTAAGTATGTTTTTTCTCTTGGCAATTTAAACCACAACTTTTCTAGAGTCTTTTACCAAGTGTATCATGATAACTACTATATTTTTCATGTGATCTATTAGTAATCATGGTTTTATAATATTAACTTAGCTGTTTATTTCCTACGTGCTTGCGAGTGTTTGTTTACAAATGTTTTGACGTCATAGCATAGATAAGTCTATAGACTAAAGAGCGTTTTTGCATGTCTTCTAGGTAAAAAAAAAATTTTTTTTTTCGTTCTGATAGAACAATTATTAACAATTTAAAACATAATTCCAAAAAGTGTCAACTAGCCCATTTAACAACAGTTTATCCTTGTTATTCTCTATACAGAAGTAAATTTAGAGAACCATCCAGAATCGGCACCCACCAGTGTCTGTGTCTGATGGTAAATGTTTACCACAGCATGGTAAATGCTTCCAAATTTCCAATGCAGCGACTTCTCCAAGAACTCTTTGTTCTATCTCCCGTTCTTAAACAAATTGTATAACAAAATACTCGTTTTATTCGGTCTCAAATAACTTCTTCATTTCACTCAGAAAAAATAAAAACGTAGATTTACTTACTTTTCATATGCAAAATTTACCAATTCTACGTAATTTTCGCATCGGGCCTACGTCTTTTTCAAAATCCGAGTTGGCAACACTGCATCGATATCCCACTTGATAAGGAAGTTCAAAATGTTTTTTACCCTTTTGCTGTACAGCCTTTTATGTGCTTATACAGTAAATAATTAAGACAAGCTCCAATAATTATAAAAAACCTCGAAAACCTGTAATTGACGATCGACAGACAGACGGATACGCGAGTGGCAGCAATAGGGACCATTTGGGTACTTCGGGTATGGAACTCTAACCTTACTGGAATACGGTGGTTTCTTGCACTCTTAATGGGTTTAATAGGATACGTTTATTTGTAATAAAATCAAAATAAATGCTGACTTCTAATGTTTTTACGCCCACTGGTAATAAAAAAAAACACTCTTTGAACGGGTATAAAGCGCGTTTATATATTATCCTTGGGTTGTTCCATATTCGTCATGTTACGTCTCATCGTATTTCCATACTCATCCCAAGGCAACTATTATGAAAAACGTATGGATAGTAAAATCACGTTTGATATTTTTTTAGAATATTATTAAATAAAACTAGTTTTTACGGCATTAACATTAATATAATTATTAACATTATATAATAATTTTGTATTAACCCGTAAAAACTAGTTTTATTTAATGAGTGATGTGCGTGAAAGCCTAAGAAACAAATAGAATATTATGTACGATAGAAATACTCTTCTATTTGTAAAACTTAAATGTTCATATTATTCAGTAAAAAAGCAATATTTCATTCTTGACAATTCGGACCCTTTACAGGCTTCGTGGTCGCAATTAACCAAGATACCATGTTGGATAAATAGTAAATAGATAGTTTATACCACTTCAAAAAGTGTTTATTATAATAAATGCTATTATTCTAGAGAACACTACCTAGAAAGTGTTTTGATAAGTCACATGTTTAAAGGTGTAAAGACCATATCGTGAGTGTGGTTTTGTTAATTAATTTGTAGGTACGTTTCGTAGTGTGTTAGTAGAAGTGATCAATCATAGTAAAAAGTAGTTGATTGTTTTGTAAAATGGTGACTACAACTTTTAATTGGTTTTGTATTTTATGTGCCCTATTTCACCATGTCGACATAATATGTAAGTTGACAGGTGATAAGTGACAATTTTGAGAATGAATTTCGCAAATTATTTTAAAAATATGAGGTATTTTGTTTCAAAAGTGTGTGTATCTTACTTTAACTATGTCGCTTTAGAAGGGTAAACAATGTCGTTTTACAAGGGAATAGAAAACATAAACATATTTACATTTCAGGGCGTACAAATATGTCTCTAACCATAATAAATGTATGGAACCGATGTGCTTCTGGCACGTCACGACACGCCACGACACGTAAATATGTTTCTGACTTTATATGTGCGAATCCCTTTCATTAGGTACGAATTGAATACTTACAAATATAAATGTGTCTTTAGAATAGATTTAAGTTTTCATTCCATGCTTAATTATTCTTTTTCCAGATCTTGATAATTATATTGATATATGATTGCCTGAAGTTTGACGCTATCGTTGTCATCAAATTAATAAATTGCCGATTGAATCTCCATCAATCTTTTATTTCTGCCAAATTAATCCTGATCAAGTTGTCAAGTCAACCAAGCATATTGACTTTTACCTTTCTAATAAAACGATTACAAGTTTCAGTAGAACGAATACTTATTTGTCTTTTTCTATCATTTCAGATCTTAACCCGGTGTTCGCGCAGTCTCAGAGAGGGAATCCTGTCATTATGATCGGGCAATACCGATTCAATCGTGTTAATAAATACGGTAGTAGAACAAGATGGGTGTGTGTAAAGGCTAAGGCAGGGTGTCGTGCATCACTGCACACGATGGACAATGCTATCGTCCGAGTGTGGGGCTTCCATGATCCATTGGCTCACACCAGTGCTAATCGGTTTTGAGCCATTGTGAGTCGAGAAAGGTTATCATGTTCCACGAGGTTAATGTATTTTTTTGTTAAGACTCAAAACATTGAATTTTTTACTCATATTTAATTTCTACATGAATCACGTTTATTATTTAACGACATTTTATTTCTTTAGTAGTATATTAAATGATGTACTAAGTGGATGATTTGACAATTATTATGACTGTTAATTTTATGAAATTATGTGATAGTTAAATTAATATCGTTTCAAGAAAGTAGAAGTCTCACAGAAATCCGACTAGGGTTAGTAACGATGATGGCAATGACATTGTGGCTCTTAAAATTATTGTTCTGGTCACAAAATTGTATTTAATGGTTCCTGAAATGCTCTTACGAACCAGTACGATAATATAAACACGGTGCTTTAATAAATGACGTTACTTTTTCAAAAGTCTTTACTATGAACTATGAGGCTTAACGTTTATATGATGAATAAAATTTAAATCTAAACACGATGGAAAGATTATGAATAGTTGTTTAAGATGTATTTTTAATGGTTGTAGGTTGGGTAGAGATTAAGCGTTACAACCAAAATATAAGTTTTTAGTACTATGGACTAATCTTTCATAAATTTATTATTAAAAATATAGCATTTTCGCACTTACAAAGTAACAAACTTAAATATTACTTAGGTTTCGGTGGTGGATAAAATAGTGAAATGCTTTTATTCAGTATTTAATCATGAGTAATGTTTATCTTAACTCCATATTTTACAATATCATCAAAGATAAAACTGTATTTATGATTTTTACAATTGCTTGTTTTATTTAATAAGTACCTGTCTTAATTTACGCAAAAACAAAGTTAATTTTGAAATTGACAAGTTTAATTTGTGAGTTGACTTGAGTTCGTAAGATTGACTGTTTTAATGTAATATTTGATTTGCAGTAATCCAGATTTGGACAAAAAAGGTAGAATGATGCACGAGGCCGAAGGAAGAATAATTGCAAAATAATAAAACAAGATGGCGCTGCACCACCTGGGGCCTATTTCACCAAGTCTGCATATTATGTTACCTAGTCATTAACAATTTTGATACAGTTGTCCGTGTCTTACTTACATTTTTGGCAATTTTCAGTAATTCTTGACATGAAATCGGGCATGTGTAAGATTTGCGTTACAATTGTAGTGTTTTCGTTGTTAGTACCAAAATGGAGTTTCTTATTCAGAAGATTTTTTAAAGAACGAATAATTTTCTTTTTTGATAATACTGATTTTGAGTTTAAAGAAAAAATTAGATCACCCCAAAATAAACCGACGGCTTACATATGTCAGCGACATTTATGTCGACGTGGTGAAATAGGGCATAGATCTGAAACAAAATGCAAAGCCTTTCATCATGTCTAGTGTTTATATTTAATATAAAAAAAAATACCAATACAGGTTGTATTGGTAATGTACGGGAAGGTAACATATGGAATGATTTGGTAAGTTTCTCAGTTTATGTATTGTGTTTTGTACTATCTGTGGCATGCATAAATAATAGGAAAATAAGATTGAATGCTGTTTTGGTAAATTCAAATCTAAAAGTATTTGTTTATAGTAAATGTCATATCATCATTTTTCAATTTAATTTATTTTTGACTATGGGTTGTAGCTCGTACATACAACTGTGTGCGTCGCTTTAGTTAAAAAAATATCCGTCCATAAAGTCGTATGTAGGACATACACCTTTATGACATGTCCAAATTTTAAGATACGTTTTTATGTTTTTGGGTAACAGCTAAATAGAGCACATATTTGAATTTATGAGTATTAACATGTATTTACGTGTTTACATGTAGGTATTTACATCAATATTATACTCTCGAAAACTTTTTTTCCAGAATCGAGCGATGTATTATCAAGTAACTATACCAGTATGGTTTCAAGTCTACCGTGTCTTTCATGTTCTATGCTAAAAGAAATCCTTCAAGAAGGTCCCGACCCTGAAAAAGCAAGAAATCAAGCAGTAACGTCAAATAGTCACAGATCTAGTTCCGATGTAACACCGACGGAATTACCAAGAAAAGATTTTTTTGAAAGTGAAATTGACACTTCTCTGCCTCGATGTAGTTACTCGTTACCCTCAAATGCTGATGTTCGCTCGCCCAGTACTATAAGTAAAGCTAGTACACAGTTGAGTTCAGGTCAGGTTTCATATGCTTGTTCGTCAAATGATAAGACACTGGTTAGCAGAAAGAGCCATAATCGACAGCGCCGCCGCGATAAATGGGAGGACATCAAAAGGAAGTGTTTAAAAAACCTAGGTAAGGCCTATTTGTAACGGAGTTAATAGAGATGCAAAAAGTTTGAAAAAAACTTGTTCAGGCACTTGTCGACGACTCAAATGCTTTCAAAAGTTTACTGAACAGGAACGTGAAAAAAAATTCTCGTCTTTTTGGCAACTTGGAGATCACTCTTGGCAGTGGGATAACATAGCTAATCATACTCAAGTTGCTGAAACTCGATATACTGCTACTTCACGGGCTGTGTCAAGACGCAAAAAAACCGTAAAGTATTATTTGCCTCTAACCCGTGATACTGAGGTATCTAATAAAATACTGGTCTGTAAAACGATGTTTTTGAACACCCTTTCAATAGGAGAAAGAACAGTTCAAACAGCATTATCAAAGTGAAGCTTAGGTGTTGGGTCTATTTCCCCAGATCGTCGTGGAAGAGCCAGAGTTCTTGTTATAGATGATGAAATAAAGCAAGGAGTAATTAGACACGTGAAAACATTTCAATCAGTGGAACGCAAAAAGTCGTCTAAACTTTATCTAGGTAGCGATCTTACGTTTACAAATATGTTTTCTCTGTACAATGAGTGGTGTGCGGCTGAAAGTATAATAAAAAAAGCTAACACCGTTAGACAAAATCATGATATTATAAATCAAAATTTAAATGTATCATTTCGTGTACTTAAAAATGTCATGTGTACAACCCAAACAAAAAAACAATGAACGATGAAGAAAACTTTTATATACACCCGATCAATCGTTCGCATTAGTTAGGTGGTCTAAAGGTTACCCTCCTTTTTATAATGCTAAAGAATTGAGCGTAACTGATTTTCATAACTATAAAACATTATCAGGCAACAAATGGGTTAAAAACTCCAAAAAAAATATATATAAAAAATAAAACAGAATAAAAAAGTGGAGGTAATCTTCAATGAGCCTCATATTTTAAATTATCGGCACAATTTTGAAGATAAAAACAACATGAGCTTAATTACTAAAATAAACCGGCCAAGTGCGTGTCGTGCCACGCGCAGTGTAGGGTTCCGTAGATGCTCGTCGTCACCATATTTTTTTTGGAAAGAGTATATTTTAAGTATACTTCGTCTAAGTCACTTTTAACGTTTTCTTCTAATAAATTTTTGATAGGTCAGAAATTTTCTAATACATAAGTTGAACGACTGTTACTCGTAAACTAACAAATGTATTAACTGTTATAATTTTCCTTAAAAATTAATGAAAAGCACTATCATCATGATTTTTTCCAGGTGTTTCAAGCCAATAGTCTAGCTTTTAGAGGGTGGAGGTGGGACGCTCTACACAATCAAAAATTAACACTTTAAAATTCAGGATCCATAAATCGTAAAATAGTTTTTGGAACCCTGAAGTTATTTTTAAAGAACCTATTTAACGATAGCCCCGCGATGGGGAAGACGATGAAAAAATAAATTCATCTCCAGGTAACATCGCTATCCTATATTTTTTTAAGATTTAAACATCTAGCAGTCAAATGCTTAAATAAACGTGACGCGGGATTTGCGGGACTGGAAAGAAGAGTGCATGTGACCTCTCGCGAGCACAATTGCTCGGTGACTAGCGGTGACTACTATCTTACATTGCAAGAGGAGTAAGAGTTAACTAACGGTTAAAAAACGAAAAAAATATAACGGTCGAAAAATAAAAAAATGTAGTATTGCTATTTTTTCTTTCAAATGTCTAATACTTGTAAAGGTATTCATTTGTCATTGTGGGTTATCACCATGCGAAGATATGGCACTGCCTTGCAGCTTAAGAAGGGTTAGAGAAAATTCGACATGGTCATCAAGGCCGCGCTAGAATAATTCAATAGTCAGTGCATTCACCCGGATAGCGAAGGGTGAGAGTTCGAGTCCTGTCTGCCGCCTGGTCCGCGTTGTTTAATAAATATAATTAATTTCGTAATACTTTGTTTAAATTTTATAATTGTTTAAAAAATATTTTGTTACCCATAATTAAAGTAATATTTTTAAATTGATTACTGGAAGTAAAACCGAGATAACATAATTATTATACATAAAATATATTTTATTACGTTTCAAATCATAAGTTTCGCTAAGAGGTGGTTATAAGAAGTGTCAGTATATTTTATTATTTTTGAGTATTATTCGTGACTCAAATTGAGCTTCGGTCATACCAATACCACTAATACAGAGAGACTGATGAAGATTAATCTTAATCTAAGTTTTTACATAAATATTGCATTATAAAGTAAATTTTATAAAAAAATATTGATTTATTTACTTCACCTACTCACACAATTGGCTGAAACGTCGTTTTATATATATATATTTTAAACACGTCCGTAGTTTAAGGCTAGTATATGAAACACACGACCATATTGGCGCTGTCCAAGGGGGCTACTTAATTACGAAAGGGTGTAACATTCTTATACGACCTTTTTTTAAAAAAGGTTTAAAGTCGTAACTTTAGATTTTCTACTATTATTTCGAAATTATAAATAAATATTTCCAACACTCACACCAATTAGCCTAGCCCCAAAGTAAGCACTGTAAGGCTTGTGTTATGGGATACTAGGGTAACGGATAGAACATAGAAATACATATTAAACATTCATGACTGGAGTACAAATGCTTGTATTCATCACACAAACATCTGCCCCCACCGGGATTCGAACCCGGGACCTTTCGAGTCGGTGACACCATGAAACCCGGCGTACAAACTACTTGGCCACGGAGGTCGTCGTTAATATAATAATTAATTCAATAAAAATATTCACTTAAGGTTATTTAACCTGCTACAAATAGGTTGGTCCAAAATTTAAAGCAATCATTTTATTGCAGCTTGCGTAATACATGAAAATTCCTTATAATCAATCTCATCCAAAATCATATATTTGTATAAGGTCACGCATTAGCGTTGGAGGTGTCGAAATTTAATTGTATAATAAAATAGTATCTAATGATGCTGTTGTTTCAGTGAAAACATATATAAATAGTAGAGGCAATATTATGTTGCAAGTGGGTAAACATCGGTTCTCTATGACAACACGTGGTCTCTTAAGTGACAGATGGACTTGCACCCTAAAGCCACGTACCACATGCAAAGCCTTTATCACCACCACTAAAGATGGAGAGATTGTCAAGAAAAACTTCTATCACAGTCACCAATAAAAACTTAGTACGGATATGAAATGCAAGGTTTGTAAATGCATTTTTTTACTTTACAATGAAGAAGATTTCATTGGTGTACTGATATAGTATGGTGTAATAGCAAAAGTATAATAGTAGTTTATGCGACTGCCATATAAGAAGGGGTATTAAAACACGGAAGTCCCTTTATTGCATAAGGTGAAGCCGAATGTAATAATACTCCAGTGTTTAAATACCTAAATTATATGCATTCAGCCCGAAAATATCGCCAAATGTATTAAATAAAAAATAAGAGTGTACTATAACGATTCAAAAAAAAATAAGATACAGCTAGCAGTACTATTTTGAATTTTATTTTTTAATGTTATGTATGTGCGTTTATAAAGTAGTTACGTCTGTATTTAACCACCTTTAAATTCGTAATTCGAATATTTTGACATGAGAGTAGATAAATTCCTATATTGAAATTACTTCTTGCCATATACGAATATACAAGCAACGGATGGAATATTAAATGTGTTTTTTTTTCTAGTGAGAAAACTTTGGGGTAAACGCGGTAATATTATGTTGCAAGTAGACAAATATCGATTTTCTTTGGCAAATAGATATGCGAAAACTGACAGATGGACTTGCTCAAATAAGAGACGGACTAAATGCAAAGCTTTCCTCTGCACCACTAAAGAAGGAAAAGTAGTCAAGAAAAACTTATATCACAATCACCGTGGAAATTTTTAACGTAACATTTTGTAAAAAATGAATTTGTCATCAAAATAAATGCTTTTTTAAGAATTGTTTTGTTTTTGTGAGGTGTTCAGGTTTTTGTTCAAGTTATTGTTTAGTCAAAACATAAGTTTGGACGTTATTTTCCTTACATCATCACTTCATGGTCATGATGCTTGTCAGCGTGAGTCTCGCCTTGCAGGTACCTCTTAAGTTATTGCTTTAATATATTAAAGTAAACACTCTTTTTGGATAAAATGACAGAGTAGATACCTTTATTTCGAATTTTAGAATACTTAACGAAAAAGAGGGCTTATATTTTGAGCTTATATTGATAAAAGCGTTTAACATAATAGATACATTTACAACCTCACTTTTGTGTTTATATACATATAATAAAATAAGGTATCCATATCAAAGTTAGGTACCCATGACTTCTAATACTTATAACATAAATGCAAAAATGTGTTTCTCTGTCTGTTAGCGCTTTTCGCTCAAACCGCTGACCCATTGTGAAGAAATTTGGTATGAAGATAGTCTGAGTCCCGGGATAGATTATGATAGTTTTTATTCCAAAAATCATCCTTTATCTATGGCACACCAATTTTTACACACAGACGGAACATGTATCTGCAAAGTTTTTTAACTTAAGACGAGACACAAGAATTTCGCAGGTTCATTAAGTACATGTATTTATTACTTTAGTTATAAAGACAGTTCTGGTTTTCGCTTTTAACACTGATTTGGCAAAATGAAAACAATAACAATACGATTTAACTGATGTTTACGAATTAAGTACTTAGTATCTATTTATTTCTTTTGTTAATTAAATGATTTGTAGAATCTAGTTAAGTATCTTTTTCTCCTATTCACATTGTTATTTTGTATAACTCGATCAAACAAAAGGATTACTTTGTCCATAAAGTGAAAGTATCGAGTACTAATTTAGACATCCTATATTCTTTACATTCAACCATATATTATTTCAGCCGCTATATTTAAGACAGAAAAAGGCAAACTGGCCTTATGCGCAGGTGGTTACCGTTTTAACAAGCAGAGCATGAGAGGCGAGCTGACGCGATGGCAATGTACCAAGAAGACGCGCACCAGATGCAAGGCCTTCGTCACAACCGTACAGGGGTTGATCATAAAAAATAACTTCAATCACAATCATCCTTGAGCGATTCTTCTGTTTACTAACACTGAGCAAGTACATGACGTATTATAATTTCTGTTTAAAGAGAGTTTATGAGAGTTTATAAACTACTCCAATGCGTTTATGCACATGTTGTGTGTACAGCTAATTAAGGAGTACCTCTAGAATGGCATTTTTAAAATAAAATAAAAACGTCACGTTTTCTTATACATAATTGAGCTTATTAACTAAGAATTTAGCACTAAATATTAAAACAAAAAGCAGCCCAAGAGAGTTAACAATCTATTAACGAATTCCAATAGGCTATGAATCCAATAATTGCGTATTTTTAAACTAAATTATATTATACATTTGTTAATATATTAATTATATTTTTATAATCAGAATGTGGCTTGTATTTTTCAACCTTTTAATCAACCTGTTTGCAAGGTAAATGAATACAGTCAAATAATATTTATCTTGACGAGTGACGGAGCTACCTTTGGCAGACTTTTATTGAGAGTTCGGATATTTAAATATCCGAACGGTCAATTCGGATATCTAAATATACCGAACGCTCAATTCGAATATCTAGATATTCGTACGCTCAATAAAAGTCTTCCGAAGGTAGCTCGGCAAAGTAAATAAAATCATAAAATTCAGACGACGCATCCTGCAAAGGCCTATGCTCAGCAGTGGGCGTAGTACGGCTGACATGATGATGATGATGATCCTGAAAAGGATGCGAATTGTCAGTAATTAAATAAATCAGTGCATCTAAACCGTTGAAACTTGTTTCTTTATAGTATTTCTATATTTACCGAATATGTTTCTAGTGTTTTATTCAAATAATCTCCTACATCTTTGATTTTTTTCTTTTAGTGACCCAAATTATTACTCCGCGTGGGACCGAGATGCTGGCATGCAGAGGGTACAGGTTCTCAAAGGCTTACGCTTCAGGATTGAGAACCAGATGGCAATGTACTACCCGATCTCGAACGAAATGCAGGGCATACCTTCTCACAAGCAACAATACTATTTTGAGGAGCAATCACAGTCATAATCATGCCGATAAACCGGAATCAGACACAAAACCAAATGAAGTCCAATTCATTCATACGTCGACCGGCGGGCTTGCTCAAACTTTTTAGTTTTATTTTTCTCTTTTTCTGTTAAAGGATAACTACATAATCCGTTGTTAGACTTGCGATCAAAATTTCTGTCAACTTTAGTAATCAGCGTATGATTGATAATGATTTGCCAATAAAGATAATTTTGCATTAGATAGGTCAACTTAACATTGGCTGTGATCAATGTAGGATTTGTTATTGTACTTATTTGGCAAAATAGCAAAATGGCAATCCTTCTTATGTTTAATTCTTCTTCTTTCATGCATTACAATTCGTCTTTATTTTTTACAGTAAAATACCCTAGATTATTCAATAACTATTAGGTATTTATAACTTATTAAAAATTGCCTTTACATAAGTAGTTAAAAGACGATTTCCTGCACTCCAACTTGAAATTAAGTTAGATGTTTGTAGTTATTCTATAATTTATAGTCAATTCATGCATTAGATTTTAAGTTTTTCTTTATATAAGTATCGACCTATTAATTTAGTTTTATGTGATATCGTTTACAAAACAAGTAAGTAGTACAGTAAAAATCGCATACGTCAGCACATGTGTAAACGCTATATAATTACGTATTATTGTGTATATATAATTTTGATTATCAGATCATGATCAGTACTAGAAATTAGTTTAAGAATCAGAACCGGTCCTTCAGTTTAGCGGGGCATGCATTAACCATGAAACAGAGAAGGTATAAAGCCACTGTCACCATAATTATAATGACATTATGATAATCAAAACAAATAAAAAAAAAAATATATTTCTGAATTGGAAGAGTAAACCATTACTTTTATTTATAACTCCTATTTCACCAAGTCGACACATATCACTGACATATGTAACATTTTGTTACGTTTGTCCGTAAATGACAATTATGTTGTGAAACAATATTAATAATTAATAATTTAATTATTATTAAGTAATAATTCTAATTTAAGGTAATTTCTGGAGTCGAAATATTTGACAATTTGTTAGTAATTCTTGACAGGAAATCGGGGCAGGAAAACTTTATAAGTTGTGGAGCACATTTGCCAAGAAATAGCCACGGCGTTTACAAAACGCTCCGTAAATAGAAAACAACAAAAAATATAATAGTGCATAATAAACAATTAAGGTATTCGAGCAGATTTATTGACACGGGCTACTACGTTGAACTAGTCGTCGCAATAATTAAGACGCAACTTCTACTTTGATTTATAATCCGATTTGGATAATGATGATTTTCTTTCGATTATTAATTTAATTTAAAGCACAGCAGCATGTCCGATTCTTGAATCAGAAATTCCCTCGCCTGTTCACAGAATAACGAAACTTTTAGCTGTTTGGGTAAACTAGCATAAAGATGTCGGACAGTGAAAGAAAATAATATTTTGTTCTATTCAAAGTCCATACTTTTTTGCTTGTCGATATGAATTATTGAGTCATTTAGGTGCATTGCATTAGAAATAGTTTCGTGGTTTAATATTGGTTGAAAAGAATTTCAATGTCACGTCGACCCTTACATAAGTATCTTATCTAACGTATAAACTTTTATAGAAAAAGATTAAACCTAACGGTAAAGGAACCATTGCAAGAAAACATGTAGGTAGGTTTGTATTGGTAACATTTGTACTGTGTTTTCCAGAGCCTGCTTTTGGAAAGACGAAGAGTGGGAATCCAGTGTTGTTTCTTGGGGAGCACCGCTTTAATCGCGTCACTGCTTGCAAGGGTCCTTCAATACGCTGGACTTGCGTTAAGAAACCCAAGGGTTGTCGCGTCACTGTCAGAACTGTTGATAATGTCATCATTGTGCAACACAATATACACAATCATTAAAGGTTTTTACACACACGCTCAGACATACTCATAAACTCACGCACACAAACACTATTACTTCTATTTTGTTTTTATTCAGTATGAACAACATACTTTAATAATAAAAAGATAGTAAAAATTAATTTGTTTTGTTCAGTAGTTTTGAGAGTTGAGGCCTGGGTGTCAGTCTGCTAAGTTTGAGTAACGTGTGTCAGTCAATAGGGTTTAGTAGTTTCGATTTTAAACACAGTTACCGTTATTAAAACAAAAAATTACAAATGTATTTGTTTACTCATTTGTTATTGTTATCTATATGTATTTTATATTCTTTGTTTTAGTAGCAGGAATTGTGTTAAAAAGCCATACCATCGAACCACTATTGAGACACGATTTTGACGTGAGCCTTATGCAAGCGTCAGCAGTGCTATTCTGTAAAATTTCACGCGTGGATCCGATGTGGATTCTATATGAATCCGCGCGGATTCACATCGGATCCGCGCTTAAAAATTTTACAGAATAGCACTGCTTTCTTTACAATTTATCGTATTGAAGTACTTCATTGTAAATGAAAAATGTTCGACTTATATGAAGAAATAAAATTAACTTTATAAACTTTTGCCAAAGGTTAAGTATTTGTTTATTTTTCTCAATACATTTACGTACGTGTATGTATTATATTTCATTCCTCTATAAATCTCCCAGAGCAAAATTGTTTTTTTTCTTTAATTACTAAACGTCGCGATTACCAATATTTGTTTCAAATCTGTTACGCAGTGAGTGAATTATGTAGTTCTGTTAATTTTACTTTAGTTTAATGTCCTCGACATTCAATTAACCTTGTAGTGAGCTTTGCAACGAAGTACCTTCGTCACACGTTTAGAGAGAATATTAAAAAAAAAAACATCTCTATGTCATCTGTCACCGTCTGTCAAGTCATTAATTTTAGAGTTTATGTACTGTCAACAGCGTATTATAATTAAGAAGAAGGAGAAGTAGATCCGGACTTTTTGGCGGGATCGGAAAGCGTCACTTAAGCAGTTTTGTTTTTCTTGTTAATAATTATGTTGTGGCGGATGTTAGTGTCTAATAATGGTGGATTATTAACCCCTAAGTGTTCGGAAACATGCACAAGTGTTGGCAAGTGAAACAAAATAGCGGAAAGTGTCTTTCGACGTTCCCTCAAGAAGTCCACGGGGAGGTTCCAGTAAATCCCCACACATTTACTGAAACATAGGGAAAGGGGGATTGACTTGACTGCCACTTACTTTGACTTGACTAATATTTGGACCACGAGTGCTATAGAATATGTAAACATTTTACACTTGACATTGGCTAAATGCACAAACCGTGCGAAGCCATATAGAAAAAAAAGGAGAAGCAGAGATCAATATTATTTAATAATTGAGCCTTGCTACGTAACATACTAACAACAGTATGTTACGTAGCAAGGCTCACTACAAGGTTAATTGAATGTCTTCGGACATTGAACTTCGTATAACCGGGGTTGAACTTCACTGTCAGGTAAGTTTCTTTAACCACTAATAGTTCTTTTACGCAGTGAGGGAATTATTTCTCTATCTGTTCTCTTTGGAGTGTGTTAGAATATAGAAGTTCAGCGGTAATCGGTTCAGGTAATATTGTATTAACTGAAGAGGGCAAAATTAGGAAAGAAGATTTAGATAAAGTTATTGTTTTTATCACCGATGAAGATAAGGGTAGAAAGATCGAAAAAATTGAGAGTCGTTGAATTGCAGATACTTTAATGATTACAGTATGTTATTAATATGTTTTATTTTTTTTACAGTTCCGAAATTTCTGACAACCAAGAATGGCAACCCGGTAATAGAGGTGGGCCCGTACCGGTACAACCGAGTGTTTAAAAATAAAGGGCCCAAAGTCAGGTGGACCTGTGTGAAGTACTCGCGCGGGTGCCGTGCAGCCGTAACTACAATTGAAAATGTGATCATTAAAACCCTGAACAATCACGATCACTGAAATCGTGCTTTTCGAGAGGCAAGTTTCGAACAGAATGGTCAATTGTTCAATCAACGTTTATGTTGAATCTAAACCACCTCAGCTGTCATTTTAATATCGATGGTCAACATGTATCTATATACAAAAGTTCAAAGTAGTAATTTTCTGTATTCATAAAATAATAAGTTCAATTTACAGCAGGCCGAGCGTGTCGTTTTCTTCCTTGCAATGTTTTTCTATAGATTAACATAACAATATTATTTATTCATTGTGAATGTGATCACAATGCCACGTGATATTAAATAAATAAATAGCTTGTATATACTGTACTTTATTTCGGAGTTGACTATTTAGTTTTAAGATCTCTTTTTAATAGTCTAAACAACGAACTATTGGAAACCTAATCGCCTCGTCTCTGTTACTCCTATGTCAAATTCAATCTCAAATTCTGTCCATTCCACAATGACTCATAACATTAACATTCCGGAAGGAACGGAGATGGCGCTGTCGTCACGTAAACATCGACGTCGTATTTAAAATTGATTTATAAATATAAAAAGTGAATTGTTCTGCTTAGCGAGTAAATCATACTGATATATTTCATGTGTGAAATATGTGGAAATGTAGGCCAGTGGAAATACCACCATACAGTGAAAATAAACAATAAATTAAAATTATCATCAGTGACCCATAAAAACAGTGTAAAAAGCTTATTTCAAGTATATTAAACAGAAGAATAATAATAAATGATAACAGTGTTAGTGACAAAATTAAAGATTTAGTGAAAATACGTTTTAATTTTTTTTTTGATGAATCATAAAATAACGAACTTTAAAAATTCAAATCTCTGTGCCTAGTATATTCGGAAATTTCGCTGTTACAAATATCCGCTGCGTGGCCGCAAGGTTTAAACAGCGCGGCAGCGGCTTTGCAAACTCCGCGGGTCGCCAGTTCAAATCAAGTTGAACGACTGTCTATTAATTGATGTTTCCATTTTTGTCTGCACCACCAACGATATAATGATTGAGCACCACGTATAAGTTCTTCATTTAAATTACATCCATAAATTACATTATTACTGTTTGTGTTTTACTCACAAAAAATCACAATAAACGCCATCTGTTTCTTCTTCCATACCAAACAGCTACTCGAACCTTCAGTGTTTGCTTCACTCTTAACAATCAATAAACAAGTTTCTTAAAAATTTCGCAAGATGGCAAGCTCCGATAAAATATGTGCAGGATGTTGTCAGAAAATACCTGATAGATACTACTTATCATGTTGTTTATGCACACAAAGTTATGATATTCAATGTGCAAATGTACCTTTGGTAAGATTTATAAATACAATGACGCCGGATCACAAATTGTCTTGGAAATGTCCCTTATGTTGCTCAAAAGTTGCAAAGACAAATAACTCAAACACCCCTGTTCGGCAAAATTACGATGAAATAAATTGCGATCTGAATTTAAATAGAAAAAGCCAACGAAGACGCCAAGCGATATCGCCAGTAGCCGACGATTCAAATACTTCCCTTGAAGGGGATACCTTTTTAGAACACTCAACGCAAAATACTCCAATAAACAGCATTTCCTCATCAAACTTGGCAACTCTAGAGCAAATAAATATATCTATACAAGAAAATCTACAGCAAAATAATAAATCTATCTTACAAGCAATACAAAATACTATTCAGAGGGAAATTGAATCAGCTATAAAAAACCTAAGACAAGACTTTATACAAAACTTTGAATACTTGAAATGCAGACAGACTAAAACCGAAGAAAATATTTTAACCCTTGAACAAAAAATCAAAAGCCTGCAAAATGAATGTTCAAAATTGCAAAAAAATTATAATGAATTTCAAGAAAAGTTACATAGTTCAAAATCCCTAGATACCACGACTGACATGAAATTCGAAAAATATATTGTCTTGCATGGATTATCTTCTGAATATCGCGAAACGGAGGATGATTTAGTAGATCGAATTTCATACATTTTTAAAGATGTACTAAATATACATTTACCCCCATACATCGAAGAAGTAAATTTCATAGGGCATAGAGGAAAGAATATTAGACCAATAAGGATAGAATTATCAAATAAAAGACTAAGGAAATATATATTACGTAATGCAGCATATTTTAGAGAGGTTGGTTTGGGCATTTCCGAATACCTAAGTGAGTCGGATCTAAAACAAAAGCGCGAACTGAAACAGGCTCTTATGGAGATCCGGAAAAAGGGTCAAAATGCTGTCATAAGGAAAGGAAAGCTAATAGTAGATGGAAAAGAGTTTACTGGACCCGGACTTAACCATATCATCAGCGAAGTAAATGGAAATAATACAAATCCTACCAGGCTTAACAAAAACCAGTCCTTTCGATAAAAACATAAATGTTTTCTACCAAAATATGCAAAGCGTAAATAACAAAGTACACCTACTAGAAGATTTTATTGAACGAAACCGTAACCTGCATATTATTTGCCTAACAGAAACATGGTTAAACAAAGAAAAACTTGAACTCTTTAATTTAACTGGATATCGGATAGCATCGAGCTTTTGTCGGAAAAGTAGAAAGAAAACCGAAGGGGGAGGCGTGTGCATACTGGTAAAGGAGAACCTAGAGACTAAAGAAAGAAAAGATATAGAAAAAATTTCTCAAGAAAACATCTTCGAAATATCTGCAGTTGAATTAACTAGACAAAACGTAGTTATAATTAATTTATACTGGCCAAATAGTAATAAGAATAGAGATGTATTTTATGAGTGTATCGAAAAACTCATGGCATTATTATCATTGAAGGACACTTCAAAATCTGTTATAGTGGGGGGAGATTTTAATGTGAACTTTATGGCAAATAGTCTAGAAACAAATAACTTAAAAAAAGCAATGTTAATGTATAATTTTCACCAGATAGTCAAAGAACCCACCAGAGTAACTGAAAATACTTCCAGTTGTTTAGATCTTATTTTTTTAAATTTTGAGTCAAACAATCACCATTTAGTAGTAAATGATTTCGCTTTCTCAGACCATAAAGGCCTGATCCTCTCCGTACCATTATGTATGCAGGCCCCTAAAAACTTCTTCCTACTGAAAAGATTATTTAATGACAAAAATATTAATA